TTGCAATTGGTAGGAACACTATCAGCATCACATGACAATCGTGAGCCTTGCAGTATGTTAATGATAGGTCCTTTATCGACACTAGCTTCTTCGGGTTCACCGAAAACCCAATCGACACTCTACCCCCCCTAAGGAAATTGCATATAGCTCTCCTCTCCTCTAGGGTTAGGTTGAAGCTAGCCGCGGGTAGACTGTATTTGCCATTATCCTGCTGTACTGGCCAAAGCTCCCGCATTACGTTCAGCTGCACCATGTCTTTCCGTGATCTGAGACCATCCTTTGATTTGCCCGTGTCCATCAAGATAGCCATGAGACTCTCAAAGACATTCTTCTGCACGTGCATCGTATCAATGGCATGGGGGACCTCCAAGTCTGGCCAATAAGGCAAGTACTGAAAGAAGATCGATTGCTTCTTGATTGGTACGCCTTCGATGGGAGGTGTGCTTCTATCTCTGATCGTTCCATTCGGATTCTTCTGTCCATAGACGACGTGTATGTTTTGGACCATTCTGAACACATGTTCTCCATTATGACGTCTCTCTGGAGGGGGTTCATCCTCTGGGATGTTGCCATAGTATCTTAGGTACAATTTGCCGCGATACTTGTGACCTGCCTTTAAGAAGCACCGGTTCCTTATATAAACTATCTTCTTGGATCCATCTAGGAACACCCATTTAGTACCATCCAAACAGACTAAGCATCCAGTCTTGCCGTTGAACTGTCCAGATAGGGCAAACAACGCGGGATAATCATTGGTAGTAACAAATATTATTGCTTTGCGTATGAAGTTCTCCCGTCGAAACGCATCGTACATTGGCTCCCCATACCTCCATAGCCTCTCCATTTCTTGCATCAGAAGCTCCAAGAACACGTCTATATCAATGCCTAGTTGTTTGAGGCCAGAGATAAGAATGGTGAGGAGAAGGTACTTCCTCTTCTGACACAAATACGTTGGGAGGTTGTACATGGTCAAGATGACTGGCCATGTGCTGTGGTCGGTCATCCTCTCATTGAAGAGATTCATTCCATCGGTGCTCAAGTCGAACCATACATTTCGTGGGTCATCACTGAATTCTGCTTTGTACTTGGCATCGAACGCTTGCCACTGGCTACAATCGGTCGGGTGTGCGATCATATCATCATCCACCTTGCGCTGATCATCTCACCATGTCATCAGTGCGACTTCCTTAGGGTTTAGGAACATACGCCTTAAGCGGTAGGTCACTGGCAAGTACCACATAACCAGGGCAGGAATTCTTCTCTTATTTGCATCGTTGCCTAATGGAGTTTCCTCTGGGGGCTGAGATTCTTGCACCACCTTCTTCCCACCCTTCTTCCTCTTTCCTGTGGAGGCTTCCACCCCACTTTGAAGGTCATTGTTCTTGTACTGACTAGCCCCACACCTAGGACATGTATCTAAAGTCTCGAACGATGTGCCAAGCCGAAAAAGGATACAGTGGTTGGGACATGCATGGATTTTTTCAACCCCCAATGTGAGTGGACTTATAACCTTCTTCGCTCGATATATATTGGCGGGAACTGTGTTCGGCCGTGGGAGCAACCGTGACATGAGGCACAACAGATCATCGAAACTGTAGTTCGACCAGCCGTACTTAGCCTTCAGGATGAGTAGCTCAAGCACAAAATATAGCAGTGTGAAGTATGTCGGACAACCCTTCTCAGCATCATACACAGTCTTCTTCGATGCTTTTGTCACCATCTCAAGATTTTCTAGACCTCTCTTGCTCTTTTCTAATATTTCTGGTCCAAAGGCCCCAAGTATTTCGTCCAAGTTGTCACTGTCATCTGCATCCCCCTCATGTGCTTCGTCATCATTGCTGGCACCACCAGCATCATCACCATCTTGTTCATTGCCAAAGCCACCACCTTGTTGATTGCCAAAGCCATCACCTTGTTGATTGCCATAGTCACGATCCATTTGTTGCTCAAGATCATATGTGAATCGGGACAAGTATGCTTGGGTTTCTGCTTCATCAGCTAGATCATCGTCGCTGTCATCAACAACCACTGTTTCACCATGATAAATCCACACTGTATAGTCCGGAACAAATCCTCTTCTAATCAGATGTTCTTTGATGGTACTCACATCTCGAAATGCAATAAGGTTCTTGCAATCTTTGTAGGGACAAATAATCGTGTCACTATTCTCTTTCAACGTTGCTACATGCTTCTCTGCGGCTTTGATGAATTTGTCCACATCATCACGGAAAAGAGCATCGTGTCTTAACGAACCATACATCCAAAAGTTCCTGTAGTCCATCTTATAGAAACAAAACAACCAAAGAAAGAATATTACTCGAGAATAATTGTATATACCTGAGACACGCACCATAGTAGTAGAGAATAGTTAATTAATTAACTATTAATGCATAAATATTTTAAAATATAAATTAATTGATTCAAATAAACAATTTTAAAGAAAACAATTAGCAACATTTAATATTTCATCAACTACCTTTCATGCAAACTCCATTTCAATTTTATGGTAGAGGATAATTAATTAATGACCTATTTATCCATAACTAATTAAAAACACACATTATAGAAAGGAATCAAAATAAATATTAAATGATAATTAGTAGCCATGGTAGAGGATATTTTACACATTGGCAACAATTAAAATCTTACACATTCACCTACATGCAAACCCTAGTCACATAAAGAAAAAATTGAAAAAGAAAAAAAACAAAATCCTAGATCTAGATCTAGATATAGAGTTTCATGACACATGCACCAAACTTCACTAATACTACACTAAAATCAACAAAGATGTACTAACAAATGGTGCAATCTTACTTCCCTACCTAATTTACCCTAGTATATTGAAAATTAGGGTCTAATTTCACTCATAACTAGCTCAAACTCCATGGAAGAGAGAGAAAATCAAAAATCAAATTACTCACTAACCAACGAATTAAACTTCAAATAAAGAGTTGGAGAAGTATTTCCGTACCTTTTAGAGCCTCTCCACCAAAGGATTTGAGATCAAAACCTTTCCCTTAGTAGAGCAATTTTTAGGAGGAGCCTAAGGTCTTCTAACCTTTTTTTGTGTAGAAGAGTGTGTCCCGAGATGAAAGAAGGGGTAGCTGCTATTTATTCGTGCGCTATCAGTAGGAACGACTGGTGATTCAGCTGCCCCTACAGTCGAACAGTAGGGGCGGCTGGTGGCAGCCGCCCGGTGGCAGCCGCCCCTACAAATGGACAGTGCATGGGGCGGCTAGTGATTGAGCCGCCCCTACAGATCAGCCCCAACTGTAGGGGCGGCTCAGGTTACCAGCCGCCCCTACAGTGCCATCTGTAGGGGCGGTTGGGCTCCTGGGGTCTGAGGACGCCCACTGTAGGGGCGCCCCCAACCCCAGCCGCCCCTACAGTAAAAATGCCCCTGTTTCTACTGTAAGAATCTGGCGTAGTGCTGACAGACAAAATCCTCTCTTTCTCCTTCGCGTATGGCTTCTAAGGCCGCTGCTGCGAGCTTTGTGCCTGCTCCCATGCATTATCCGTGATTGCTCCCGTGCGAGCCCACGCTTCCTCTTGCCCATGCATGCAAGCATGCGGTAGCATGGAGCTGCTGCCCATACGCATGGGCAAAGTTTGTGCCACAACAAGGCGCTGTCGCCAAGGTCTGCTAAAAAATCATGAAAGGGACACGGAAGAAACAAACTTCAGCAACGGGAAAGACGAAAAGAAAAATAAGAAAAGTAAAAAATGGAACCACAAGGTGATGTCGCATAGGCTTGCTCAAAAATCATGAAAGGAACACGGAAGAAACAGACTGCAACAATGGTAAAGAGGAAGAGAAAAATAAGAAAAGTAAAAAAATGGAAAAAGAGAATGGAACGAACATAGAAACAGATGCCGAACAGAAGGAAAATGTTGTTGGAGGGGGAGGCAACGGTGGAGAGGAGGTTGTCGCGGTTGTGAATTGAAAAAGAGAAAAAGTCCCTAACGGACACGGAAAAACTGGACGGAAGAAAAAATATCGCAGGTGATGGATCTTGCAGAAGGTTAGATAAAAAATTATTATTGACAATTTTTTTACCTTTTAGTGTTAGGTATAGACTTTTTTAACAATATTAGGTATAGAAGTATATGTATATAGATATTAGACAGGATAACAAATTATTATATTTATTAAGGTTGATTAGTTGGAGCATCGGCAGATCTAGATCGATTGGTGATGAAAATATCTATTTAAATTAGGAACGAGAAAGAGATCAAAGACACATACTACTATTTTTGTTATTTATTTTTTCTATCTATAGAAAAAGAGATAAAAAGAAGAAGAAAAATGACCGAACTAAACGTGGGGAGAGCGGAAACGAAAAAAAAGGAAAAACAACCGGACACAATGGGCGGACGGCAACACTTCCCACGCGAAAAAACGGACGTGGGTGTTAGTGGACAGGCGGAACAAAAAAAAAAAAGAAGAAAACAATCTGGCAGTCTGGCTTAGGGCACGGACTGGCTTTCATGGAAAAAACAGGTCCGGGTCATAGTGAATAGATTGGACGAAATAAAATAGTGGTATAAATTTTGCCTCTTTAGTATTAGGGAGGAAGGGATAGATAGCGGTACGACCTGGACACGGAAATCATAAGTGTACGATCTAAGCGCGAATCCGGCGGAGATTAGGTGATGGACGAAAAAATTTGTGGTAAAATTTTTTGCTTCTTTAGTATTAGGTGGTATAGAGGTGTATATATATATATATATATATATATAGATATAGATATAGATTTATATGTTGTGAAATTATAATAATTTTCAAAAATTGAAATATCTGTTTTAGAACAAAGCTAATTCGACACGTGAAAAAAACGGAGGGATTCACAGAATAACGAAATTTGGTGGCAGTTCGAATTTGGTGATCTTTCGATGCTATTTACCCTCCCTCTCGAGCCTCGAGCCTCGAGCCTCGATCCGCCTCCGCCCCACCCACCCTCTCCTCTCGCTACGCCCACTTCGCCGCCGCGGACGCAATGAGCACGGGCTGGAGGACGCTGCTGCTGCGCATCGGCGACAGGTGCCCCGAGTATGGGGGCTCCGCCGACCACAAGGAGCACATCGTGAGAGCCCCTACCTCTTCCCACCCACTGTTTCCCCCTTCTGCTCTCCTTGCTCTCGGAACCCTAGGTTATCCAAGCGCCGATTTATAGTTGGGATTTTGCTAGTTTAGCTTGGAGCGCTTGGTGTTTGGTTGCCATTGCTGTTGGTCAGAGTGGGTAGGGGGCTAAAAAACCTAGTTACTCGCACAAGAGCCTGAGACCTAGGTTTTAGTATTATATTGGACTGCTGCAGTTTGAGCTGGTTAAAAAAATGTTTGTATGCTTGTACTAAATGCTGCCAGAACAAAAATACTGGTAGAACACTTTACCTTTAGATTCTGACAGAAACTGGGCTTTGGAATTGCAATACAGCCATTTTCCTGATTGTTAGTGGTACTTCCGGACCTTACCTTGGGCTATGCTTATTTCTTCTTCTAAGTATCAGAGCCTCAGTCTTGTGGCTCCTTTGTTGGACGTGGTATATGTAATATTGCTGTTTGATCTAACTAGTAGATTTTATCATGTAGACGAAGCATCACATTTTAATGAGAAATGGTTCTGGGCAGGAAGTAAAATTTGTATGCAAAGTATTATGTTTTTTTGCTTACGCAGCTGAAAGTTTGCACATCTGTTAGTGCAGTCAGTGCATACCAAAAAATTGGAAATGGAATAGTCTGTAAATTCTAGATATACAAATGTGCACTTTGTATTTCTCACAGGTTGTATCTGAACTATGGTTTCATGGATTGCTGTGCTTCTGTTGAATTTTTTGTAAGTGAATCAGTGATTGTAGTCGATGACTTTATGGTAAAATGAATGTAGCATGAGGTCTTAACTTTTAAGGGCAACAAGTAGAGTTTGTGATGTCATTTTTTTTACAGAGTGCAGTTTGATTAAATGATTTCACCAGCAAAGAACTGACATGATATAACTAGGGTACAAAATAAAGGTGCATAGCAAATTTCTGCACAGCACATAGTTAGAACAGTGTTCCATTTTGTTGCGTATTTACACAATTACACCATCATATAGTTGTTTCAATGTATGGATATGAATGATATGATTTGTGTAATTTATCTAACTTGTTCTTATCAAACATTTGCTTCATAGGAAACTTGTTATGGTGTACTATCCCGAGAATTTGAACACTCCAGCGACGCAATATTTGAGGTCAGTATGCAGCAGTCGAGCCTGTTCATATATTATTGTTCCTATTTTCTAATCTGGACCTTTTTGCTAGTGGTTTATAACGAGTAATTCTTACTGGGCTGCTTCCAGATGTACTCCATTAGCTAAGCCAATTTTTGAATTTCATAGAGTAACTAAGATTGGGGTTGTCCAGATCGCGACAAAGCTGGAACTTTTTCCAAACGATCAGATCATATCATAGGATCAAGAATGTGCAACAGATACCTTTTGCCACATCGATGATATCAGTGAGCTTCAATTTGTTTTCACATCCATAACTATATACCAAGCCTTTTTGCCACATTTGCAAGCCACACCGTCGTTCTTAAGGCTAGCAACTCAGCATGCCACCTGTAGGTTGGTCTGTTGTACCGGCATGGTGACACCGGTTCCTAACATTCATGCGAAATAAAACTAAACATGTGAACGCAATCAATGCATTGCTTACACTTAGTGTTTTGTGCAAATGATACCATTTTCCATGGTATATTGTGCAACTTATTCTTAACTGCTGGAATTTGAAATTAATTCTTTAAATAAATTCAATTAACTAACCACACCAGCTTATTTTATTTCAACTTGTCTCCAATAAAACTCAATTAAATTTACGAAAGAAACAATTTAACTGTTCAACATAATAAATGATATTTGGTTATAAAATATTTCATAGTTCATAAATGAGCTAAAAAAAGCATATTAGACAAACAGCGCTTATAAATTAATATAACAGTATGAGATCCAGTCCGGTCTTAGAACCGACCCCATGTCATGTCAGCTTTGTGGGATTGTAACACCAATCTGTATCTTGATCATGACAACATTGTGAGTGAGTGCAGACTATTCTTTTCTGCCAGTGAATATAGATACGAAAAATGTATGCAAAAAAATATTTTCCAGTTGCTGCATGCTTTACTTTTTCTGTGCCTGGGAGGCATGTCTTCGTATAAAGCTGAAGTACCTTGAGGTGCTAACTGAAACTTTTTCTTTGCCCGAGCAGTTTCTCCTTCAGTGTGCAGAACAATTGCCTCACAAGATTCCTTTCTTTGGAGTTCTGGTATGCAAGCATATTTACTCTAAAGCTTATAGCATATTGCTTTTATGTTCTCTTTATTTGCTAAAATTATGTATGGAGCAATTATGAATATAACGTTCACTTGTAACTGTACTCATAATTCCCTTTATGTGTCCATAAGATAGGACAACAAATACTAGCGTTATCAAAGCAAACTCCAGATGCCACATTTCATCCCTTTATATTTCGTAAGTGTTAGGGAGTTATTCTATTGTACTTTTTGTTTAGGTCACTAGCATAGTGATACAGCATGATCAAGTTGAGATTCTAGGATGGTGATTTACATTGTTTTTTCATGGATATTGAGAGAGGACATCAATGTTCACTGACGTTTCAGTTCATAATTTCCTACACTTCTGAGTTCTGAGATTGGCCTTACTGACCTTGCACGTAAACAAAATTCTTAACCTGTCTTTTTCATTTATGAATATGCTTTCATTGTTGTTTGCTGCTTCTGTATGATTGTTCGTTAACTGTTACAGCCAAAGGGCCTCTAGTCCAGTTGCTCAGAGTACCCCGGCGGCACTCCTCAGGTCCTGGGTTCGACTCCCTGTGGGAGCGAATTTCAGGCTGAGGTTAAAAAAATCCCCTCGTCCGTCCCATATCCAAAGCACTGGGGCGCGACCGCCCAATTCTCACTTGGGCGACGGAAAGCCACCATGTAAGGGTGGGGCGGGCGTTCAGGGGTTTTCTTGGCCTGATGAGAAGGTCTTCTTCTTATTTGGAATGCTGTGGGGGCCGTCTTAACCCCTTCAGGCCGAGTTCGTTAACTGTCACATAGCCTCTGTGGAGGTTGCAATGCCACTGCCAAATGTATACATTTTTTTGGAGAAACTAATGGCTAAACATGTTCTCTTCTCATCCTTTCCATATGTATGCTGGAATTAGCAAATATTCTGAATGGTGTGTATATTTACATGCAAAAGAGAAAAAAATGCAAGACGCTACACAGATTAAAACACACTGTAACCACGGTCATGCTCATGTAATGAGACAGACCAATATTATCAACCAGAGGACATCATGAGACAGTTATGGGCAAGAAAATTAGCAAATGCTTATAAGTTTTTCTGTTTCCTAACCAAGCTAGTCCATAGTTCATGATGATGTGATTTAACAACACTTTTGGTCCTAATGTTATTGATGTATTATATATACAATTAACTTCAGAGTCTATTTCTGGATCCATGGTATATGGTATTTATTGTAAGAACAGGATTATAACCTCATGGATCATGTTTAATAAAGCTAACTCTTTTGGTTGTACTTTTTTTTAAAAAAATCTCAGATTGGTTTGATAAACTTAGAAAACGAAGACTTCACCAAGGCTATTGTAGATACCACACAGGCTAACCTACAGGTACCATTATTTGTACATTATTTAAACACACTATTAAATTTGTGATTACCATAGCTTTAATAGTGACTGATGCCTTGATTGCAGGATGCCTTGCACAATGAAAATCGTGATAGAATTAGGATATTGCTGCGATTTCTCAGTGGTCTGGTAAGTAAAATGGCTTGTTTGCTTTGATTTTTTATTTATATCCTTAATTGCTCATTTCCTATATATCCTTAGTTGCATCGCTTGTAATTTCACTGTGTGGCATGCTGTTTTGTTTTGAACTGACAATGATCTGCATGCATAATTGTCCGTTTGTAATAGGTATATTATAATTTGAAAAGGTCTTTAGAGGTATACTGTGACTACCAGTTTCTCTTTACAATATATCATCAGTTGCTACAAAACCAGTCTGTTTGAAATACGAATCTATTTGTGTAACTTTTAGACACTAAGCATGCATATAATTTGACTGTTGGTCTTATGAAGTTTGACCTTTTATGCCTAACTGAATTGGGGGAGTACTGTTTATGAGGGGAAACTCCTACTGTGCCATGGAAGGCTGTTAGTTGTTGCTAATCCTCTTGATGCTCAACTAACTTGGGGGATTGAATGAGCTGAAATTCTGTTCAGTCGCAGTGTAACTTCATGAATAGCATGCTTCTTAAGGCGGTAAGGTGAGGGCGTGGCGAGCCACCCCCTTCCATATGCCTAGGCGTTTAAGGCGTACAGCGAGGGCATACAACGCCTTGATATATAAATAATGCACTAGAATTTAGAACAAATTTTACATTAATATTGCCAATTCTTAGCATGTAATACCATAATAATAAGTAATGCTACTAGAGTGCTAGTGCAAAACATAAAGTAGCAAAATGGCAAATCTGAAATATCTCAATAGCAACAAATTAGTCTCTAATGACATAACACCTTTATTACTAGTGCTGCTTAGAGTCTAGTTGACGTGATTAATAGTAGTTCACAATTTCACACTCCACATTACAAAATATAAGACAGTAAGTAGTGCACAAGAAAAACCAGCATGCACAACCCATCAAGCTGTAAGATTAAGCAAGCCAAGCCAAGCCAAACACAAACAAGCACCAGAGCAGAGGAAACACAGGTAACATAACAGAGGGAAGGGAAGACCTGGGCACTGGGCGCTGACTTCAGAGAGAAGGGGAGAAGTAGAGTCACGGGCACGCGGAGATTGGCGGAGAGGCACAGGGTCGCGCTGTCCACTCGGCCGCACGTGGGTCGACGGGGATCCGGCTCTACTAGTTCTAGGTTCCCTCTTCTCTTCCCTTTTCTCCTCTCTTTCCTTCTCCCTCTGACCCTCGCTCAATTGGCGTGAATGGATGGGGGCACCTCCTCATGGGAGGTGTAGGCACAGGGCGCGTGACTTCCCGCACGCATGCAATTCCCTCGTGTTTGCCGCGAGTGCAACTCCCTTGCGTTTCCTGTCTGCCGCTTTTTCCTCCTGCATGTGGCGCTTTTCCTCCTGCGCTTCCGCATCTCTTCGCGCATGCGGCGTCTGCTTGGAGTCGCCCGATGCCTTGTCGATGACTTGGTGTTGGAGGCGACGCCATATGCAGGAAAGCTGTGGCGAGCCCGGTGCTCCGGTTGAAAAACCGCTCGGACGCCTAGGCGACGCCTTAATAACCATGATGGATAGTCAGATGATAACTTTGTTTTAGAATATGCACAATCAATATATTTGGACTTTGACTGATAAATGACAGTAAGAGCAGAATTGCATCGAAACATACTTTTATATCATTATATTTTTTTTAGTAATGACATACTACTGCAGTTTTTTTTTCACCAAAGTTATAAGTACCTATGGTTCACAACACTTCTTTATAGTTGGGCATAAGAATTAAGGAGTTAGGTAAATGACATCTTACCCCCAATTAATATTCTCTGAAGTGTGAATGCATGCAAAAAGAGGTTATTCATTGTTCCAATTAAGGAGGGGTAAGGCTGCGAACAGCAAGCTGAAGTTGCCTAGGTATTTTAGAACAATATGTATTTTGAAGATTGCGAAGGAGGGTAAAACAAATTTTTTGAACCGGAGGGAATATCAATTGTAATAGAAATCAGGAATACCAAATGCTTGTTGTAATCTTTTTGTTTGGCCAATAAAAACCATATCTATGTATCAGCCATCTCATTCTTCTGCCTGCTTGATGTGCTCCAGCGATTCTTTCATGGACCTCAGCCATTACCAATAAAGCCCCCCTTTACCTTCTCTTTCTATTCTATAAAAAGCCGAACATCTAGGCCCGGTTGCCTTTCTATGAAGGCGCCCTTGTGGACATTTTGATATTAAGGAAGCCATATTTCACAATAGCAGCTCCGAGAAGCTGGGCTTAGGGTGCGACTCCTGTGGTTGTTTCAGTGACTCAATTAGCTGGCTTCCAACAACAACAACAACAATAACAAAGCCTAAGTCCCAAACAAGTTAGGGTAGGCTAGAGTTGAAACCCAGCAGAAGCAATCAAGGTTCAGACACGTGAATGACTGTTTTCCAAGCACTCCTATCTAAGGCTAAGTCTTTGGGTATATTCCGTCCTTTCAAGTCTCCTTTTATTGCCTGTACCAAGTCAACTTCGGTCTTCCTCTGCCTCTCTTCACGTTACTATCCTGGCTTAGGATTCCACTACGCACCGGTGCCTCTGGAGGTCTTCGTTGGACATGTCCAAACCATCTCAACCTGTGTTGGACAAGCTTTTCTTCAATTGGTGCTACCCCTAATCTATCACGTATATCATCGTTTCGAACTCGATCCCTTCTTGTGTGACCGCAAATCCAACGCAACATACGCATTTTCGCGACACTTATCTGTTGAACATGTCGTCTTTTCGTAGGCCAATATTCTGCACCATACAACATAGCAGGTCTAATCGCCGTCCTATAAAACTTGCCTTTTAGCTTCTGTGGTACCCTTTTGTCACATAGGACACCAGATGCTTGGCGCCACTTCATCCACCCTGATTTGATTCTATGGCTAACATCTTCATCAATATCCCCGTCTCTCTGTAGCATTGATCCTAAATATCGAAAGGTATTCTTCCTAGGCACTACTTGACCTTCCAAACTAATATCTTCCTCCTCTCGAGTAGTAATGCTGAAGTCACATCTCATATACTCAGTTTTAGTTCTACTGAGTCTAAAACCTTTGGACTCCAAAATCTTCCGCCATAACTCCAGTTTCTGATTCACTCCCGTCCGACTTTCATCAACTAGCACTACATCGTCCGCGAAAAGCATACACCAAGGGATGTCCCCTTGTATGTCCCTTGTGACCTCATCCATCACAAAGGCAAACAGATAAGGGCTCAAAGCTTACCCTTGATGTAGTCCTATCCTAATCGGGAAGTCATCCGTGTCTCCATCACTTGTTCGAACACTAGTCACAACATTGTTGTACATGTCCTTAATGAGCCCGACGTACTTCATTGGGACTTTATGTTTGTCCAAAGCCCACCACATAACATTCCTTGGTATTTTATCATAAGCCTTCTCCAAGTCAATAAAAACCATGTGTAGGTCCTTCTTCTTCTCCCTATACCGCTCCATAACTTGTCTTATTAAGAAAATGGCTTCCATGGTTGACCTTCCAGGCATGAAACCAAATTGGTTCATAGAGACCCGCGTTATTGCTCTCAAGCGATGCTCGATAACTCTCTCCCATAGCTTCATAGTATGGCTCATCAACTTAATTCCCCTGTAAAATTAGCTGGCTTCCCCCTGTAAAATTTATGTTACATGTATAGAATGCACTCAATGTGTACTAGCTTGCTGGCCATTCCCTTTTATGTATTACATATAGCTCCCTGAACCTAAGTTTTTGTTTTTTGTTTTTTGAGGACCAGGTTCACTCTTGTTTCTATCAGATTGTGTTCTTTGGCCAAAAGATAAAATGGCTTTATATATCTTGGCCATCTTGTATACCTTAGCCATTATTTCACTCATTTTTGGCTTCTACATCTTAGATAGAAGTGGAAGCCCTTCTGCTCCAGCTCCTAGGATGTGCTTATTTTCATTACATATTAGATATATTAGTATCTTTTAATTAACGTTGTTTGCCTTTATAACCTTATGTATAGTTTGTCATTGTTTGATTTATGGCCCTAAACTATGCATTGGGTGAGCAGGTTGTTTAGGATAATGCTGCCGTCATATTAGGTTTTGAATTTGCCATCTCCTATTGATACTCTTGTTTGAGTTTAAATCAAATCAAATATGGGAAATATGCTTTCAAAACCTCTCTCACACAAAGAATGTAGGGATTTCATTCTGATCTTTTTATTGCATGTCAGATATTTTTTTCTTATATTGAGACCCTTATTATGCATATATTGTGGTTATAAACATATTATATTTTTGCTGCTTGTTTACTATTTTACTCTATTAACGGAAATGTAAATCTTATTTTTGTTAATACTTATATGTAGATGTGCAGCAAAGTTGTAGTTCCAAGTTCAATCATCGAGACATTTGAGACCCTATTATCATCTGCTGCAACAATATTAGACGAGGAGACTGGCAATCCTTCGTGGCAACCACGTGCTGACTTCTACGTTTATTGTATTTTGGCTTCACTTCCATGGGGTGGTCCAGAATTGTTTGAGGTAACTTCGATTTACTCCTGTCATTAACTGTTTAGATGAATCTCCGTTGTCCTGTGTTGTGTCTCACACGCAAAAAGGAGAATATCGTGTTTGTGTCACTGTTCCATACCCCCCCTGGCACGGCGAGATCTGTCCTTCTAATAGATGAAGTAGCCTATTAGTGTTATCCAATATCCAGTTGTGAGTTTGTGCTTGAGCTTGCCAACTCTACTTGTTGGCAAATCGAGCAGCTTGTTGACTAATCTTGTTTATTCAAGACTTGCTGTGGCTAGCTGCTTAAGTTGCTTCTCTTTGGCATGTGGCCCAGTAGAGCAACCGTTCTATGTCCCAGCAGAGCAATATACACAGGGGAGGCGCGTAGAAGAGAATCATGGAACTTCTGTGAAATTATTTACTAGAAGATTTATTAGATGGTAGCTCGTTGATGACATGTACTTATGTACCATGCAGCAAGTTCCGGATGAGTTCGAGAGAGTTTTAGTTGGTATACAGTCTTACATAAGTATCAGGAGGCATTTTGATGATATTGCTTTCTCAGTCTTTGAGACAGATGAAGGCCACTCTCCAAACAAAAAGGTAATGCTAATCTTCCTGAATGAACGGACCAGAAGCTTGTTTATTTCTTGATTCACTTAAAATCTTATGTGATATCGAGGGCGTGTTTGGTTCCCACATTGGGAAACACACCTGGGCCTGGGGTTGGATGTGGCTTCCTGGCAGAGCTCCCTAGGCGAGGTCTCAAACTAAACACGCCCTTAGTTCAGTATTAAAGGCTAGTCCTTTGCAGGATTTCATGGAAGATCTATGGGAGCGCATTCAAGTTCTTTCCCGCAATGGATGGAAAGTTAAAAGTGGTATGCAAAGACAACCTTTTACCCTAACCGTCTGTTTCAATGGCAGTTTGTATGCAAGCTGCAAACTGATATTTGGTCATTATTTCATAATATTTCAATTGTGGATAGAACTCTTAAACTTTTTTTTTGAATTTTAAAGTATTTATCTTTTTGTCAAGTCTCAAGTCACACGCTTCACTTTATGTTTGCATTCTTATTATGGCTATGGACTGGAATCCAATTACTTTCCTGGCAGTTCCAAAACCCCACCTGTCATTTGAAGCTCAGCTGGTGGCCGGAAAATCACATCGTCTTTCCCCTATAAGTTGCCCTCCACCCATTCCCTCGCAGTCATCTTCTGAAATGTTAAAAGGTCAGGAGAAACATGAAGCCGATATGAAGTATCCTCAGAGACTTCGTAGACTCCATATCTTTCCAACGAATAAAGCTGAGGTACTTTCTAAATTTATGATTTAGATAGAAACACTTCGATCATTCGATCATTGATCATTTATTTTTTAATGCAATCTGACCTGATATTGAACTGCTTCTGTTTTTATTTATTTATTTTAATGCTCAGTTCTATGTACTACCTCCGTTCCAAATTATAAGTCACTTTGGCTTTCTCCTAAGTCAAACTTCTCTAACTTTGACCAAGTTTATAGAAATATATATTGGCACCTACAACACCAAATAAGTGCACTCTCAAGACATAGTGCGCATGGTGGATGGAATAAAACTAATTTAGTGCTGTAACTGTTGGCATATTTTTCTGTAGGCTTGGCTAAAGTTAAAGAAGTTTGCCTTAGGACATAGTCAAAGTGACATAATTTGGAACGAAGGGAGTATGATCTAAAGAGGATATGTTTCTTGATATTTTGTGCTGAGATCCTTCTTCCATTTCTTGCCAAATTCTTGCTATGGGTTCAAGCTAGTCTGGTATACTGGTACTAGCTGCTCTACATTCAATATTCAACTAGAAATTTAAGTGATACACATGAAATAATTTGATAGGATATTTCCTAATCTGCTCCTTTGGCACCTGAAACTACTATCTTGTGAATTCTTTAATATTACATGGACTTTAGCAATTGGCCAATTGGCCTGATAAGTTGTTCTCTCTTGAAACATAATATTGTGTGAAAGTAACTCTGCTTCTTCATCCTGGGGAATTCAGTCAAATAATGTGGAAAATATATGTTTTGCAATTATATATATATGTTCCTTCATTTGTGTATACTGGTTTTATCACCTGGACTTCAGGGGGGACTGTGTGATGGGTGTTTAACAAAAAATGAATCTATGCATATTGGCTTCAATTATACTTCAGTGAAATCCAATCTTATTCTAGTTTCTGTATTAATCATTTGTTGTAGCTATATTCTACTACAAATAAGAATATAAGATACTATAACTATACCTTATCATATGGCAATTGTTCTTCGTGTTTTGCACATCTAATCAGCTGCTGTTGATTCACAGAACATGCAGCCTGTAGATCGTTTTGTTGTTGAAGAATGCATTTTGGATGTGCTACTTTTCTTCAATGGATGGTCAGTTTGTACCCTTTGTTTTTTTTAAACATTGAATGTATTTTATTATCACACTCTTGTTGAATGTTGATACCAATATACGTGCTTCAGAGGATATTGCATATCTGATACTTAAGTGTATCCATGGAAGATATGTTTGATATCAATTAGTTGTTAGATTTTGCTTGTCTGTGTAAATATGCATTAGTGGTTTCATTTTGGGTGATTAACATTGAGAGGGCATATGGAGGAAGCTAAACTGCAAGCTTTGAGATTCAGTGATGCTAAACGACCGGCTTTCTCTCGTTGTATAGACTCCCTAGCTTAGTTTCTTCTTCTTCCGTCATCCTTAAACCTGTTGCTCTTTCTGTTTTGGTGTCTGTTGTATAGTTGTACATGCTTGTACTTTTTCCTCATTTTTATTTTATAAAAAATCTTACAGTGGGGGCTTCCCCTGCTGTATTCTCGCTCAAAAAAAAAAAAAAACATTGAGAGGGCCTGCAATGCTAGCTAAGCAGCTATGTGGTTTATTTTTGTGCTTAGTGTTTGGATCATAATCCATGTTTTATGTTTACGGTGTATAGGAGATCCTGCATGATCCATTGCTGGCTGTGGTTTCTTTTTGTGCTCAGTGATGGCTATAACTGGTTTTCTTTTTCTAATCATGTATAAGTAAAAGAATTATGTTTTGAGACTGAGACAAATGTACTGGCATACTAATATTCATGGCTGTGGTTTCCTTTTGTGCTCAGTGATGGCCATAACTGGTTTTCTTTTCTAATCATGTATAAGTAAAAGAATTATGTTCTGAAACCGAGACAAATGTACTTGCATACTAATACTCATTGTTTAGATGTTTGACCTGGTAGATCCCATGGCATTCTATGTTTATGAATGGTGGATTTTTTTTTAATATTTTAGTGTGGTAATGCTAATTTATTCATTTTCTGAGTGGCTTTTTCATGCTTGAATTTTCTTTATAGCTATAGCTAAAGCTGTTAAATTTTCTGTAGTCTTTAATGTGAAAGGAATCTGATCCTTAATTTAGCATGACATCTCAGGAACATCCATTGAATTTTATGTTTATGATCCATTAATTAAGTGCAGCTTGCTTACTGATTCCATCTTGTCTATGTTTTTCTTTGAAAGTTAGTCGGAAAGAATGTGCATTTTATCTGGTCAGCCTTCCTGTGTCATTTCGCTATGAATACCTGATGGCAGAGACCATATTTTCACAGGTATTATTTTGTCATTTTTAATATTGACTTATTTGGGTTCAAAGTTAATACCTGTTTTTTTATACCTGCGTTCATACGACGTGAACTGTATTGTTTCATTCTACTCGTTTGTCTAAACCACTTGTTTTTATCTGCATGCATCCAGAACAATAATGGAGTTAACCAATAAGTTCTGGTTTAATGATTGTATGCCTATCTTTATAATGCTGCTTCCAATAAGCATTTAATAGGGTGTTTCGTAGAAAACGCTGCCTTGGGTTGACGTATAGTTGCAACTTGCAAGCACAATTCTCTAAAAATCTGCTTTAGACTGGAGCGACTAGTTGGTACAGAAAGAATATTTTATCCTCTTGCTATCAGACTATCAGTGTAAGACAGTAGTTAAACCGCAGGGTATTTGTTGCCAAACTTAAATAATGCTTCCCAGGTCCCCGGCCAAAAAAGAGGGGAAAACCCTGAATGAATTATAAGTCTACTGATTTTCAGCTGGTCTTGAAATAATTTGTGGCTCTGTGCAGAGTAGTCATTACTGTGGAAAATAGGTGGTCCTAGGCTACTTTCCAACCTGGATACTTTAATTGCCACGGAGTTAATGGATTTAGAAGCATTTGGTACATTCTGTCTTAGGAGTTATTTGCCTAGGATATGCTACAGAATTTGTGCATGCTATGTTGCATTTTGAGGTTCTCTTTACCCTGTACTTGGGATAGTTTTGGTGTTCTTATGGTAAATAGTTTTCTAACGTATATTCTCTTGCAGCTACTATTGTTGCCGAATCCACCATTCAAGCCAATTTACTATACATTGGTTATCATTGATCTTTGCAAGGTAGACCTTTCATATATCTCCTTGACAGATGCTGTTTGTCTGTCTGTCTGTTACAGTAGAATGTACGGCTGAACCTGCAATGCTCATTTCGCGAGCTTTTTGAAATTTGGGTTGAGTATTTGAGTTTAAGTTTGACCATGCAATTATTTATTTACTTTTTTGCTGCATCACTACATTATGCTACAGATGTTCTTCGATTGTCACAACTAAGCATAGTTATGAAAATACCACAATAAATTTCACTATCAACGCTCAATGCCCCTCTGTTAATGTTATCTACATATCAGATTCCCATTGCATTGCTTACATCCCAAGAGACATGTTTATATTTTTATGTAAATAAACTTCACTTTTTTTTTTGTGAAAAGTGAAAACCATTGTGCTCTAGATGTCTCAATTGGATGGTTCTAGTATCAATGTGAACATGGGATGAGGTGGTCGTCTGAAGAGTTAAATTTATCTACATACATTTTTCATTAGATGCCTTATGTTTGTAGCAATTTTTTGCTCCAGTACCTAAACATGAAAATGAACCTGGCATGTTAGAAAATTTTATCCACCAATGTTTTCTTATCCCTAGTGATAGATTTTTTAGCTTCCAAGGATATATTCAATTTGAGCCTCACCACATTAAGGTTTATTTCAGGCATTACCAGGTGCGTTCCCTTCAGTTGTGGTAGGAGCAGTGCATGCTCTTTTTGACAGAATTAGTATCATGGACATGGAGTGCCGCACCAGACTTATACTATGGTTTTCACACCACTTGTAAGTTGATCATTATTTAGGATTTCTTCTTTGTGTAATCATTATTTGACTATTTGCATTTGCTTCGTGTTGTCTGTTGATTGGTACATTCTTCTTACATGTTCAAAATATGACTCCCAATAATCAGCACAGGAGCTTGTAATAATTAATAAAACATCATATGCATCGTTAATACAGCTCGCGCAAATGGATCCAGAACATATTGTTTCGTTCAAATAGTTGGTGGTTGTTACTGAATTGTAATGATATTCCTCTGCTTCTACAGGTCAAATTTTCAATTCATTTGGCCTTGGCAGGAGTGGTCTTATGTCAAGGACCTCCCAAAATGGGCTCCACAGCGTGTTTTTGTCCAGGAAGTGTTGGAAAGGGAAGTACGCTTGTCGTACTTTGAAAAAATCAAGCAGGTTAATCTTGTGCTATTAGCCATTACTTACCAAGAAGGAGGGTTTCCTTTTGCACTATGTTGATATGCATGCTTTAAAAAAAAAACAGAATTAATAGGTATCTTGCGTCACCCTTTTTTTTTGCAGAGTATCGAGGATGCTGCTGAGTTAGAAGAACTGCTACCCCCAAAAGCTGGGCCTAGCTTCAAATTCCATAGCGATGAAAGCAATGAAAACACCAATGGCCAGAAGTTATCCAAGGAACTTGTTGGCTTGATTAGAGGAAAGAAGACTACACATGATATTATTTTATGGGTGGAGGAACAAATAATTCCAACAAATGGTACTGAATTTGCGCTCGATGTTGTTAGCCAGACACTTCTTGACATGGGTTCAAAAAGTTTCACCCATCTTATCACTATTTTGGAGAGATATAATAAGATAATCTCTAAGCTATGTCCAAATGAGGAAATGCAGCTACTCTTAATGAATGGAGTCAGTGCTTATTGGAAGAACAGTACCCAGATGACTGCTATAGCTATTGACAGAATGATGGGTTATCGCCTGGTATCCAATTTGGCTATAGTCAAATGGGTTTTTTCTCCTGCCAATGTTGAGCAATTTCATATTTCTGATCGACCATGGGAGGTGCATCCTTTATCCCTACAATTTTGCATTCATTTATGGTAAAAATGTAATACATATATAAACAAAAAAAAAACAATATTTAAAGAGGTCAACAAATTTTCATTATAATTGTGAAAGTGATTTTTATAAAATGGGAGTTCTGTTTTGTTTGGATGCATATTTATGGTGATTTGCATCCCCTTGACGCTTCTTTTGCCACTGTAGCCCATTATAACTAAATTCCTCATCTTTGGTTTGAATATATCTGATTGAAATTTCTCCATCAGATTCTTAGAAATGCTGTCAGTAAAACATACAATCGGATCAGTGACCTCCGAAAGGAAATTCAATCACTCAAGAAAGGTCTTCAAGTTGCTAACGAGGCTAGTGCAAAATCCATAAAGGAGCTGGAGGAGGCCAAATCAGTGCTTGAGATTGTAGAGGGGCAACCTGCACCAGTTGAAAGACCAGGTAGGATAAGGCGACTCGAATTACGTGTAAAAAATGCAGAGGACGAGGAAAGAACTATTGAAGAATCTTTAGAAGTGAAGGGAGCTTTCCTTGCTCGGGCTCTTGAAGAAAGCAAGGTGCATTATTTGTTTTTGTTAGATTTTTTATTGATTTGTATGTGCATTGATATATTGATATTAATATTGCTTAATCTCAGTATTTTGTGGAATACTTTACTATCATGGAGTTCTATCCTTTTACCCACTTATTGGTCTGACTATTTGGTTTGACAGGACTTGCTTAAGTTACTATTTAAGAGCTTTGTTGATGTGCTCACTGAACGTTTGCCGCCTGTCTCTCTTGATGGAGAAATTCCTAATCTGCGCACTGGAGATCAAAGTGTAAATTTTGCACCTCAAGATCCTGAAGCGGCAACAATGGATATTGACAATGAAAATGGAGCAGATAACAATAGGTCAGTCTGATATTCAGGATTGCACCACTCATAGAAGTATAAACTGCATTTTCTATCTTGGATTGGAATGTTACACTAATGGGGTTTCATTACGAGTTATGTTTTGCTGTCTTCCACATAAACAACAATTTTGCAGTTATGTTCTTTCAGATGATAGGGCAAATTTCGTATATTCAGTAGAGTATCTTAACTTCTCGAGACTAGTCCAAATGTGCATTTTCCTAGATAAAGTAATTCGTAAGGTACGGAGTGTCGAAACAGTGTCATATGACTGTCACTGATCCCAAGCAATGGTATTCCAGGAGTTGGTGTTAACATCCAGTTATATACAGATTGGATATTTTAGTAGCTATATTTGCCACTCTTGTTCTGAATTGCTAACTCGTGCACCATCTTTACAGTGAACCGAATGGGCGAAACACAAAAAATGGATACAATGTTGGAGAGCTTGAGCAATGGTGTCTCTGTACACTGGGTTATCTCAAGTCATTTTCCCGCCAATATGCAAGTGAGGTTAGATTGCTATCTCTTATTGGAGGACCTCAATACTTTTATATGAAAATCTTGTTGGAAGCTGCCTAGTGTAATTGGCAAGGGCCAATTCCTTATATCAAATGATCTCTTGCATGTCCAGCAATGGTAATGGACATGACAAGGTGTATCAGAGCCAAATATTAAGATTGTATACTGAAAAATTGCTCTTGCCTTTACAAAAGCTTTACTTGAGCACATCATTTCATTGGCTTCTGACCTCACACTGATCATTTATCATTTATGATGTCGGGTACAGATTTGGTCAAACATTGCAATGTTGGATGAGGAGGTCTTCGTTGGGGATGTTCACCCACTTATCCGAAAAGCTGCTTTCTCTGGTTTGTGCAGATTTGCCAATGAAGGGTCTCATCCTTGAATTTTTGACACCCTACCCACTTCCTTTCTAGAACGGAGTGTATTTGACCTGTATGACACAGAAGACAACTTTTAACCTTGTTTAACTAATCAGATAGGCATGAAGATTTCTCCTTGATTTCTTATGGGGTTTTCCCCTTCCCCTTGATTTCTTAAGGAAAATTTGTCTTGTAACTTTGGCTTTCTGGAAGTAATATCCGAGTATGCTTGGTTTGATGTTAATTTTACCTGAGGACTGGGGTTGATATATTGATGACTGATCCTATTATCAAGGGAATTGTCAACGATCTGATAAAACTGTTAAAAGTCACGTATACTTTCCTCTCCAAGTTACGAGTCACTTTTTTGTCCTACTATTAGGCCAATGGGAGACATCATATCTCAGTTTCCAAGAGTTTCGGCATGAGTCATATGGATATATATGGTGCGACGGAACCCTGCCCAATGGATCGGCCGAAAGCTTAAGCGGAGCCTTTGACAAGCATGTTTTATGTTTCGTACGCCGGTAGGATATAAATAAATTCACCTTTAAGAGGCCCATGTAGACAGCCGGAGCCAGAGTCATTTTCTAAGATCAAAGTACCACACTAATAAAAAAAGGGACATTTGGCCACAAGACATTCGGAAAACATAAAATTGGCTGCTGCACACCGTCAACTTTGATATTGGCCGAGTACCATTATGAAATTGGGTTCATTTGTTAGAACACACCGCCCCCATTAAAATATAATTTCTGCTGGTTCCGGGAGAGAGAAGCTATGAAAAATGACGTGTTTGCCCTCATCTTCTTCCTCTCGCTTCCTCAAGTCTGGCGACACCATTTCAAGAAGTCTGGTGAATGGCCGGCCGGCGAGCCTTGCCGTGCCTGCCCTCACCCACACCCCTGCGTCTCCCCATCCTTCGCGCCACCCCGCAGTCTCCACCGCTAAGGCCGACGTCGTCTGCGTGCTCTTCTGCACCTACGTACGGCTTCACCGATGACCTGCGCCAATCCGCCATTGTCGTCCGCATCCATGCCGGCCAGCAGCGCGAGGGCCTCCTCCCCCGTGGGGCGCAGGTCCAGCTACTGCACCAGCACCACCATCTCTAATTGTGTCAGGCTATCGTCGTCGTCCATGTCGAAGCGCCGAAAGATCTCGCGGAGCTGCTTCGGAGCCGGAGAAGAGGCGGCTGCCGCCGGTTCACTGGTGGTGGGAGTGGGACTGGTCGGCCACCGCCGGTGCACTGGTGCCAGAAGGGCATACTTAGCGCGTTCCCTAGAGGAGTGGCCAGCCTAGGGGCGGAGCTCCCGGCGGTGCGGCCAACCCAAGGGCAGTGCTCCCCGGTGGCGCGGCCATCCCAGGGGCAGTGCTCCCAGGCGGCGCGGCCAGCCGAAGGGCGGCACTCCTCGGCAGCGCAGCCATCCCAGGGGGCACGCCCTCCCCGGAGGCGCGGCCAGTCCAGGGGCGGAGCTCCCGGCTGCGCGGCCATCCTATGGGCACGCTCCCCGGAGGCGCGGCCAGCCCAGGGGCGGCCCTCCCCGGCGGCGCAGCCATCGTAGGGGCACGCCCTCCCCGGAGGCGCGGCCAGCCCAGGGGCGGAGCTCCCCACCAGCACGGGCAACCCAGGGGCGAGCTCCGCTACGCCATATCGGCACCATATGAGCGAGAGGAAGAAGATGAGGGCAAACACGTCATTTTCCATAGCTTCTCTCTCCCGGAACCAGCAGAAATTATATTTTAATGGGGGCGGTGTGTTCTAGCAAATGAATCCAATTTCATAATGGTACTCGGCCAATATCGGAGTTGGCGGTGTGCAACAGCCAATTTCATGTTTTCCGAATGTCAATGTCCCAATAAAAAAAGAGTTGCGTTTGGAAAATGGAGAGGCTAGTCCAGTACGTTCGGACGGCCCGTGCGGACGCATCGGGCGCCGATCACCTCCATCGCGTCGGACTCTGCCGAGGAATCGCGCGGGCCTCTTCCACACAGGCGTCGCGCGGCCTATACCGCCTCACATCGGTCGATGGCGGCCTACGCCTCCTCTTGCGTTGGTGGTCGTGGCTTGGCCCTGCCGCCCTCGTGGATACCAACGCCGGTGGTCTGCACTTGCAACCAATATTTTTAGGTCGTCCGATTAATCGCGATTAGTCATCCTGGTCGGTCCCTGGTATTCGATTAGGAGGACCAACTCATTAGCTCGACCAGAAAGCTGATCGTTCAATTAGTCGATAACCGACTAGAGCAGGGACGACTAGTTTGGTTACTCTGTTTTTGGGCCTGTTTAACTGAGCGGACATATAGGACTATTGAATGTCAATGTTTGTGACTTTGTGTTGAACACTTTAGTTTATCTGTACTGAACTAATTTGGTTATGTAATATCTTTGGTACGTGTGTGCATTTGCTATGGTCTCGCTAAATGTTAGTTATTTTGCTATCGCAGCAGGTCTTTGCTTTCAGTAAGTCGTTCAAGATCAAGACTGCATTAGTGTCACCAACTAAACACTAATGCAGTCTTGATGCTTGCTTTATTGTGTATACTATATAGTGTGTGTCTATATATATATATATATATATATATAAAGTCTACTTTTGGCCCTTCAACTATTGTGTTGGTCTAATTTTGACTCTCAACTGCAAAACCGTCTAATGCTAGTACCACAACTGTCAAAACCGTTCACTTTTAGCACCTGGCGCGGGGACAAGGCTGTCTTGACCGACATTGAGCGGTTTTGACCACGCGCGGGAGCAGGCCGGCCCAGGAGTGTAGGCCCAGGGTGCGCTGCGCATTTTGCATAAGAGACCCTGGATTTTCATGAAACTAACCTTCATTCTATACTACTATTCACATGAGTCATAACATTTGTATTTAGCACCCATAAAAATCTCGTCTTCACCTTTCCCGGTCCCTGGGCGGCTCCAGAGAAGAGCATGCCACATGGGGCGACGGCCGGCGACCAATCCGACCGAGAGGAGGCTCACCGGCGGCGAGGGAGGGAGGCGCGTGGAGCGCGCAGCCCACACGCTAGGTCTGGAAGGCCACTAGTGCGCAGTTGGGGTAGCGTCGGGGGCAGAGCGCGGCTGCCCACGCAAGAAGCAGCACAACGCGTGCGCGCACACACACTCCCAGTCACCCAAGCACACAAGAGGACTCGGCCGTCCACATGGTTCGCAGCGTGCAGCTTGCTGTGACGATCGCCGTCGTGGTCGCGGTGCTGCTGGCAGCGGCGACGACCTCGGAGGCCGCCGTCACGTCTTGGCAGGTGAACTCCGCCATCGGCCCCTTCCTCGCCACGCCCGGCTCGGCAAAGAGCCCTCTCGGCCTCATCGCGAACGGCGTGAGGAGCCTCAACTCCGCCGCCCGCAGCACCGCCGACAAGCGCGCCGCCTGCAACTGCCTCAAGAGCGCCGCCGGACGTGTCAGCGGCCTCAACGCTGGCAACGCCGCCAGCATCCCCTCCAAGTGCGGCATCAACATCCCCTACACCATCAGCGCCTCCATCGACTGCTCCAGGTACGTACCAAGGCATGGAGGCGGTTCATGTGCTTGTTTCTATTCTTGTTTTTGCATGTCCCTGGAGGCTCCAGAGCAAAGCACGCACAGCAGGGCACGGGCGGCGGCAGGGGATGGCCGACGGCGGCCCTTCCGTGCGTGCGCGTGTGCGTAGAGAGTACGGGGTGGTACCCTGGGGTCGCTCTGGCCAGGGGCGGCAGCGGCAGCGACCCGACACGCCCGTGCGCGGCCGGCCGCCTGCAAGCCCGTGGCGGCGGTGGCGCGGCCGTGTTCCGGCGTACAAAAGGTGAAGTGGCGCGAGCAGTCGGGCGAGCGAGGGATAGGGACTCACCAAGGTTCGAACGCAGGCGACGGTTATCTTGGATAAGGTCGGGGCGGTGCCGGCCACGTGCGCGGTAGAGGTGTGCAGAGACGGCGACGAAAACGCACGCGACGATGAGGGTATCGGGCTCGGTTCCATCTCAACGGCGTACGCGCGCAGGGGACGGAGGGAGCTTGGCGAGGCCGACAGTCCTTCGAGTTCCGAGCGGCAGGGTTTGGTTGGGGCTGTCCACGCGAGCGCCCAGTACGGTGGCCATGTCGGGCTGCGGCGAGCTTCGTGCGCTCACGCTGGTCGACGATTCTCACTACGGTCTTCTCCAGGGTCTAGATAGGAACCTGAGGCAGGGGTGTACGAGATGAATTGGGGAGAGATGGATTGGGCACGACGAATTTTGGAAAGGGATGGCGCTGGTGCTGGCGTACCATAACAGCTTCGTGGTGCTCTTCACGGGCGACCGGAACATGCAGGCGGCTGTGGGGAAGGTGGCGCACCTGCTGGCGACGACCATGGTGCTCAAGAGCGTGCAGCCGGTGATCCCCAGGGTGACCATCGGCGGCGGCTGGCAGGCGCTGGTCGCCTACATCAACCTCGGCTGCTACTACGCCAGTGCAGTTCGGTTGAGTCGATGACGCTTGGGCCCCACATTGGACAAAACCGCTCCACGTTGGACAAAACAGCTTCACCCACGCTCAGGTGCTAAAAGTGAACGGTTTTGATAGTTGGGGTACTAGCATTTGACGGTTTTACAGTTGAGGGTCAAAATTAGACCAACATAATAGTTGAGGGGCTAAAAGTGGACTTATATATATATATATATATATGTGTGTGTGTGTGTCATGATATACATGGACGACTAGATGGACGACCAGGGTCGACTAATCGGCCTGGTCGATGACTAATCACGATTAGTCTCCTGGTCGGTCCCATGGCGACCAGGTTCGACCATACGACCTAAAAACATTGCTTGCAACACGAAACACTTCCTTGAAATAGATGAAACATTTGTAACATATGCTTGCAACATGTGTATAGCCAGTGCAACATATGCAACACCTAGATAAAACAGTTACAACATATGTCTGGAATAGATGAAATATTTTGAACAGACGTTTGCAACATACTTCTGAAACACTTGTAACATATGCAACATCCCGATCTATTTTTGTAACATCCCTACGAAAACACTTGCAACATATACATCTGAAACATACATTAGCAACATACGCTTTTAGCGCAACATCTCCTTGCTGAGGTCGCGCGTTGCGGCGGCCATAACTTTCGTGGTGGGGAACTACGGTAGCGGAAGCACCTCGACACGGCGAGGGACGGGGCACGACGCGCAACGAGGCGAAGTGGGCACCGCGGGGATGGAGCGTAGCGCGGCGCGGGATGGGGGAGCCATGCGGCACGGGATGGGGCGTGCGTCAGGGATGGCGGCAGCAGGGAGGTGGAGTGGGGCAGGCGGCGTCCGAATGGATGAACACCCACTTCTAAACATTATTGTTTGGAAAACTATTGGCGTTATCTTGCACTCGGTTTGGAAAAAAAAAACGTTCACTATAAGCTAGGTAAAAAGGACGGAAAGGGTAAAAACATGCTCCCATCATACTATTTTTTTCTCTTATTTTTTCTCTTAGTTGAGTGGAAAAAATAACATTTCTCCATACCCTTTAGAAAGGGAACGCTTCTCTTGTGGATGTTTGGTAGCATGTAATGCTACCTAAGCTCGACTCCGCTCACGCAATATGCGGAGTGCGGCATCCACGCATCAATCTCACAGGTCATACAGGTTGTATTTGCTCATGCAAATAACTAAGGCTATGCTCGCTTGAGCTTATCAGCCAAAATCAGTCATACTTTTCATTCATGAAACAATGTTTTTCTCTCACAACAAATCAGCCGCAGCCACAATAATTTCTGCTGAACAGCCCGTAAAACTTTGTAGTTTTTTTTGGGGTACTTGCTTATAAAACCTTACCAAACACTTTCTTTTGTTAAATACGGTTGCAACTCAGTCTGCAGAGTTCATTGCGACGTCATTCGGGTACGGCAGGTCGGGCTTGAGCACGGTGGCTTGTTTTGTCCTCACGTCGTACTTGCAGCCACCCCGTCGCGTCGGCCTTCATCATGATCTCCGTGTTAAACTAACAGCCCGTTCGTTTCGACTTATTTACTCGTATTTGGCTTATAATCTACGGCTTGAACAGTATTTTTCTCTTACACCGAACTAACCAACAGTACTTTCAACCATGGCTTATAAGCCAATTCAGCCCAAACGAACGTATTGTTAAATCTGCGCGGTTAGGTGGTGCTGCTTTCGGTGAAGTAGATGTCGCAGGTGGTCTGGTCTACGTCTCCCGGCACGCCATCTACTTGAGTCGCCAGCACCTCGGCCTCACCACCATCCGACCCGACCTTCATTAGCCTCAGGTACGATACGCGTCGGCGATACAGAGGACACCGGTCTTGTGTTGAACTGCAGGCACGGGCGCGCAGCGGGGCAGCGCGATGCGGCTGATGTTCTCGGTCACCTCAGTACTGACGCCGTGCACAGTAGGATGGGCGGACGTGGTCTAGCTCAGAGCCGACGGTGCTGCCGCCCCACTTGCCCCTGGCCTCGGCCCCGGCGGTCGAAGGCAAGGCTCTCGGCGCCGCTGACACCGCTGGGCAGCGGAAGGCAGAAGCTCCAGCCTCCAGAATCCAGAGCGTGGGCGTGGTTTTGATAGTCTCGGCGGCGCGAGGAGGGCAAGGGCGACGGCGAGCAGAAGCGACGTTGCCAGGCTAATACGCTTATACGCCCCATCTCGATCACGTTCTTCGTAGATGGAGCTTCGTACTTAGACTTTTCATCAGATCCGAGTAGATTAGGTCGCTACACTATGTACAACAAAAATTAACTTGTACTGTGAAATAAAAAAGTCTAGCTCTGAGATAGGAGAACAATTAGATGTGTCTCCACCTTGTTTGCTAAAGAACCCAGGTGTCTGTACAATGTGTATGTGATGGCTCTGGTGCTGTGATAAACAAGGACAATAGCTCCACACACTTCTTCCTCAAAAACCTGGGTACAATATCTATAATCAGTAGAATTCTCAGTCCAACTACAGATGCACTATATTGTATTTAGTCAACACAGCAACTTTTAAAAGACCACAAAGAGTGTCAATTCATCATCTGTTATAAGTTTTATTAAATGTTCAATAACACATTTAACAAAATCAGGCAATAACCAGCACTGGAGGCTCTCCAGAACTGGGTGCAGAATGGATTTAAGAAATCATTTTCATCCTCTTACAAGAGAATGCATATACATCACTATTCTACAGAATCTGTAGCTCATAAAATCCAAGTGTATTTTACGCAATGAAGTGAGTACATGCAACACATAAAAAGCATAAAGGCATTCGGCTTAATTTGGGCACAGATAACAAAGTTCAACACACTACCTAATCCAACATTTACACTTCTTGGTTGCACTCTTTTCACAGTATCCACGGCTTGTGTGGATTCTTCTACCTAGTTCTTGTACCTCATCACTTTAATTCTTCCTATAAGAATTTTGCTTCCTGGTTTAAAATTTAAACCGAGTTGTCTAATTTCTTCAATGACTTGATAGCTAAGATGGTGTTACTTTTGGTTCATGTTAAGCCACAGGGACAACAAAACAGGTCAAGCAGGGACTGGGACCTGAGATAACATTATATGCACACTTTTCTCAAATGAATAACGATCCAAAAAATGTTGGTGAAAAATACCTGCTTCAACTCCAGTCTACATACTGATACTACATGAGGTGAAACTGATATTCGGTAGTACCAGCTAATCGCAAGCAATCTCCTCTGACCTGTTCAAGATTACACAAAGCGTCATGCAAAGAAAACGAAATGGATAAAAAATTAATATTTAGAGTTTCTTCTGTTAAGATGAAACAAACCCATTGAAACAGACACATCAATGCATGCTTACACTACCGCAAGAGGCAGCAATAGTGCTCCCAAATTCCAGAGCCTTGGTTCACATAATTTCCAATTTAGGAAAGGGATTAAGAGAATGCTTGATATCAAGTTCATATGTTCCGAACACAACATCATGCCCCTTCTCTACAGCTGCAATCTATAAAAGAATCACCACCATACCTCACCCCCCACCCCAACACACACACAAGCAGAAAGCATAACTCATGTTACCTGTGCTACCTCCATAACTCATGTTACCTGTGCTGCCTCCAATAAGGAACTGAATGCCAGTAACCAAAAGTGGATGCTGCAAACTGTATGCAAACAGCGAATGGCAAAAGGTAAATGTGGAGCACAGATCTCATCTTACATCAGTCTGAGTAAATTCATTTGTTTTCCACTGGAAAAATATACTGAGATAGCTGCAACCAGCATCATGGAGCACAGATTGCAATGTTAATCCAATATCAGCTGTTCACTGTGTGACATTCTGTGCAATTCCGATTTTTGAACACATCATCAGCTGCTTATTGATTCCATTGAAACCCGAACAAGTCTTAGTAGTTCATTCACATTGTTGAAGTTAAGATCCAAGATTGTTTTTACCGAAGCAAGGCCATCATCAGCACCACCTCTTTCCTGACTCCCAGCAGCAGATGCAATCACAAACTCTGCTTTTCGAGTTGCATGGAATGCCAAGTTCACATCATTTGTCTAAAACAATCAAGAGAGAGAAAAAATCAATATATACAGACACTATTACCGAATGGTGATGCACTGAATTGGCATTATGCTAGCTTGGTTTGATATATGCAAATCAGCCTTACAGTAATATACAGTTAGTGCTGATGGTTAAAAAACACAATCGTAATCTACTTAATTTCAGGTTACTCACGTACCTCAAATGGTATGGCAATATGACAGCATGAGAACAGGGGGCGGGGGAAGCTTATTCTTCTTCAGTCAAACTTGAATTATGTGCAGCTACTCCAAAATTCTCAACTTCATTTAATTTAGAGGCTTCTACAGTAAGTTCTAACTCATATCGTCATCCGTCATTGCTATTGCTATGCTCAAACACATGCACACAGCCATTATAATGAAAATAGGTGCCATTAAGTATATTGTCAGTGATCATATCCTTTGTGATCCGCATGGTTTTATTACCAACCAAAATGCTAACAACAGCCAGGGCAGCTACCTAACGAGGGCCTGTTCTTGTAACCTAACAAAACTTTTCTTCTTCCATTACTGAAATGATGCGTTATTAGTAATACTGACTGGAGAACTGACTGGCCCAACCTTAACTAACTTATATCGTTATTAGTAATACTGATAGATGCTACAGTACCAAACTCCGTATTTATTTCCACCATGAGTATTGTTAGTACAGAACTATAAAAAAAACCCTAAATCAGATTATATAGTATTACATTGCGATCAATTCTGCGGTTCTGCCTGCTAGAAATAGGCCCTGACATTTCACACTTAGGAAGTTACAAACAAGATGGCAACAACAAATTGAAATTCAATTTCTAAAATGCTTCTCATTCAGGGACAGAAAATTCTACCAAGCTGAAAGTGAAATCAATTTGTTCTTGTTAACAGCCTGTTGGGACATTTAAAAAGGTACTTACATAGGCAAGTAATCTCAACAAGTGAGCTTGGTTGTGAACAGCTAGAGGCAAATGATTGCCTGGCACATGGGGTGAATTGCCACCCTTCAATGAGGCCTTTGATAATCCATGGCTATTTAAATTATCAATATCTGGGGCAGAAGATGATGGTGATTCACCTACATAACAGCAACACATTAAATGCAAATATAGAAAAGTTCACAGAGGCACAAAATTGTCATGAAATTATTAAAACAAAGTTTGATAACATGTACCATAGAACTTGCAAGAGAAGAGCAATGAAGCAATTAAAAAAAGATGTGTTATAATAAATACATGCAGTGCAAATAAAAACCTTCCAGATTTCAAAATATCGTTAGTCTGAGTGGAAGGCCTGTGTCAGCATCAGGTATAACCAAAATACCTGAAGTGTAACACCAGGGTCTTGTATAAACTACTACTTCTGTCTCACAAAGAATGTCTCACATTTTGAGGACAAATTAGTGAACAATTAAAATGACACATGTACCCCTATGCTTTGTATTCCCCCCATGTGTTGGTTAGACCAAGGTAAATAATTGTATCCGCAAACTCTATACTATATTGCCATCATGCTCCTATATAACAGTACTTTTAGGATATCATACCTATAGTTGAGGGCCCCACATACTAGTCCTAAGCTAGAGTTGCATTCTTTTTGGGACAGAGGGTGACTATTTCTGGAATGTGCCTGGCCACAATAGCTGGATTTTGTGTTGAATTTTCATGATTCTACCCAAGTTTAGGGGACTTATAAGAAGATTAATGATATGAGGATTTTCTTCAGTTACACCATGATAACCAGTACAAAGGACATTGAATACAAAGCGTTCAAAGAAATAAATTAGGTTTCCAGAAGATTGAATTATTTAAAATTTGAAATTCTATTGTACAAATAAGGGTCAAAAGTTGTTTGTGCATCAAGTACCTCGGGCTATCTGTACAGCTGCCTGCAGTTCCTGTCGATCTTTGCTTGCACTACGGTGTTTGTAGTATGCAGCCTTGAGGTAAGCAACTTCTACACACTTATACGCTAAAGCAGCAGCAGCCATTTTTTTGCACCGTTCATATTCATAAGCACAAAAACTGGCAAGTGAAAGAACCTCATTTAGCATGTAACACACTTAGAACAACATGACTATGAAAGTATCCATAGCAGCAAACTTAGAAACAATTTCTGTGGAATCATGAAAGTATCCATAGTATCCATAGCAGCAACGTGACTAAAGCAGCAGCAGCATCTCAACAACTCCTTATGCATTAAAAACTTAATTCAATTCAATATAGATTGGAGCGATGAGTAATCACTATATGCCTAAATTCATATAAAAGCCACAATTAAATTAGTTTAGCATATCCAAATTAACTGTTGGATGGTGTCAAGTAGAAAGCTAATCTAAATTCGTAGTTTTACCTTAATACTTTTTAGATAATGAGTTTTACCTTTATATAGTTCTACTCTATGTTCTTCATTTCACAACCGCAATGAAATGAGTCGACCAGGTAATAGCAACTGAATATCATAAAGACAAAGTGTGTGTATAGCTTACTTGCATAATTTTGCAGTTTCAGAGTACATCTTCATTGACCGAGCTCCATCACCTGGCCTTGAAATGTCAAAACTAGGAGTTTCTAGAAGAAACGCAACATGCAGAAATTTCAAAGCCGCCTCAAAGTACAGACCTGTACTTTCGAGTTCTTGTCCTTTATTCTGCAGGGAGATTTTTTCCCAGAGAAATTGTAAGGAAAAATTCATATCATGGGACATTGGTAGATCATAATGATATAAAATTTGATGCAATGAGGGTGAACAACCTTCAAGTCATTGGCCTTATGCTTTAGATCTCTAGCTTCCTTGAGAGCAAATGTAATCATACTACCATCCTTCCTCGTTGGACTTGTGTCCAAAGTACTTGAAGTCGCTTGCTTAACAGTGCCATGTTGCACTCCAGTTTCCACATTGAACCTCACTAACTTTGCTTTCATTTTCAATGAATCAGATTTAACTGAAGTAGGGCAGACCTTTTGTTTACCTTCTTTCAAAGGAAAATTGACAACTTGATTAACAGGGTTCTGAATATCTTGATTATCGATTCTAAGGTGAAGTTTTTCTTTTTTAAATGACATGCCCAGCCGCTGAGCAGTTCCACTACCTTGGCGAACTTCAATGTTCGTACTTTCATGTTGAACGGGACCAGACTCAGTGTTCAAAGCTGTAGCCATTCTGTCAAAAGAATGCTGATCAGGTAGCGGTGAACGGCCCTCCATATTAAAGTCCTTTTTATCACCAGAAGGATGTTCTTTCTTCTCACTGTCAAAGGGTACATCCAAAGCATTAATATTATTGACATTTTCCAATGAATCATACCCTGAAGCAATATTTTCCTTGCGTAAAGACATGTCACTAGTTTCATGTGAACCCTTCATTGTTTTTGCCTTTGCAAGCAAAACTTTGGGTTCATCAGGAACTTCCACACCATCTGAATCACACTTGTGGTCCTGGCCTCTGTCAATTTGATGCCAATCCTCAATTTTACTTTTCTTATATGTTTTCTGTTCATCTTGATCAATCCCTATTTTAGTCTTTACCTTTGGATGAGCCTTGATCCTTTCCATAATACCTCCTGGGCATAAACAATGAAATTATATGTCAGCAAGAAATTTGGATAACGAAAGACAACACAGAATGAAAACTTATTAGAAGGTAATGCGTATCAGACAGATCATACATAAAGAAAAAAGAAAAAGGAAAGAACCTTCATCTGAGTAGCTACTGTGATTCTTGTGCTTAGGCTTCAGCTTTTCAGAAATGAGATCAGCTGATTTACTCACTGGCCTGGGACCATGTTTGCTCACAGAATCTCTCTCGGAACTGTAGCGCGTGTCATCAGTAGTTCTTTCATCTCTGATAGGGTCCTGTTGGTTGCTCATGGAAGGAGTCAACGATGGTGTGTGGTAAGAACTCTCAGCCAGATCTTTTCCATTGCTTGGAGCATTTTTCCTTTTCCTACTCCGTTCAAACTGTCCACTTATATTATAGGCGCTGGATGTTGCTGTACCTGTACCTGCAGTATGAGGACTACCTGAAGAAAAAGTTGTGGCAGTCGCTGGAATGGCAAACAATGCATTCAGAGCCTCTGTTGTTTCATCCTCACTGATGTCACATCTATTCATCCCAGGCCTGCAAATAATTTGAATTATTTTGGAAAATTTGTGCTCTTATTATACTTATGATCCAAGGATCATATGAACCCCATTCTGAAAAGATACTACATAGCTGTTGCATTTGCACACCTCATTGTACTTACACAGCTCACGGGGCACTTAGCAAAATAGGTGAAAATAGGTGGAGAATTAGAATGCAAGATAATTCCAAAACTAATAAGTATAAAAAAAATTAGCTATGTTATAAGAAATGGCATTGAGGTATACGTTTAGTTGATTTTCTCTTTTTCTTCAAAATGATAATTGCTTTGAGTATACGCTAACCGGGTAACTGACAACTCATAAAATGTAAGATGTTCATTTATCATATGCAAACATTGCTGCACTATAAAGAAGGATAGAAAAATGGATATACGTGGACCACAAAAAATCAAGTATTTCAAGCCTAAGCATAGATTTGAACTTACAGCCAGTGAAGCATGGTACATTTCCACTTTTTTGGAAGCATAGAAAGGTTCGTTCCATAGGGTAGAAGACGCAATTTCTGGCATGTGTCACAGCGTACCCAGTGGTCCTTGATCACAACTGGTGCAGGAACAGGATCTGCATTCATAGTTGCTGCACTGCTGGTCGGCTGCATATACAACTGTCCGTGCTTTACACTGGCTGGGATCTCCTTCCTTGCAGAACGAACTTCAAACCCATTCTCGTTATTTGTGTTCATCATCTTCTTGTTTTGGCTGGCAGGCACTTGGATGTTAACTTCCTTGTTCATGATTGCACTAGCATCACCTTTATATGTTCTAGTCTTTGTATCCATTGACACCTTTTTCTTACTGCAAGGCTTCATCTGCTTAGCCACATTGCCTCTGATAGGTCCAGGTGGATGAAAAGACTGTGAACGTCCTTCTGATGCTTTAGATACATTTTCCATGTCTAAATGTGTTTCCCAATCCTTTAGCACTGGAGCAACTTTATTTCTTAATTGCAGCAAATTGCCTTGTAGAGGTGACAACAAGAAGCCTCCAGGAACTGGAAAGCATGTCATGACCTGAAATATGATGCAGAAGAAAAACAAGCAATTCTAGTTATGGCTTTGCTTGATCAGCTAAACAAATATAACTTGGCCAATAAACAATAATTCACCTGTAGGATAGTCCGAGGTGATTCATATGGAACAAGCCCATCAGGACTCTCCTCCATGGACGAAGGTGAAGAAATATCAAGGCCCAGGCCACTATAGATAACTGCATTTTCTCTCGGCAGATCATTGTTGAGACAAACTTTAGTCTGAAATTTGAGCGACTTTGAGTCACTACCACTAAATGAACTGTCCAAAGAATCAGAACCTGCAACAGATTCCTCATCGTTTGTACTCGGGTATTTTTTATTCTTGAGTAAATCACTAGCTGAAGGTGCTCCAGAACCATTATTTCGGGAAATGGGCTCCACTGCTACAGTAGAGGGGTTTTGATCCATTCTCTGCATCAGTAAATCATGACATTACCAATACACATGAGTGCACATTCATCAGAGCATATACTTCTTAACAGCGCAATGAATATCAATAAAAACCTCAGCAGATGTTTGGTAAGGTGATCCTGACGTGCTAATGTTCGCTGCAATGTGTGGGCTTTCGGATTGAGGCACCAGGGGAGAACGCTGATATGTGGGTAAAAATGAACCATATCCACCAAATTTCGATCCTGTCAAAGATTATGCGCTGCTTAACATCCCTGCCAAATGCATCAAACGAAATTAACCAACAACAACAATTAGCTCTTTACCAAGGTTCTCTACAGAAACTTCTCCTTCGAATTCCTTCTGAAAATGTCCTAGAACATGCTGAAGTTTTTCATCCTGGAACCAAATGCAGCACTTCTTAGACAAGAATGCAGTGAAATAGTTGAAAACAAAAGAATTTATTCAAAGGTGTAGATAAGCAGCACTATTCAAATTTGTTTCTGGTATGTGGTCCTGAAGCATTGATTGGTGAGGAACATAGTCACGTACTAAACAAGACAGTGTAATCCTAAGCAAATTAAAGAATATCTTATTGTCCATGCAAACTAACACCTACTGAGCGCACAAATAACAACAAATGTTACACTACTAATCTATTGCACAATACTGAGAAGAGACATGTTGCAACCCCAAATACTAAATGATACTCAGAATGTAGAAATAGGAAAAAGTTCATACAGTTAACAGTCCTAAATATAGAAGTATAAGTAAACCCTTTAACCCTTGCTAAAAAATTGTACATCTTCAATTTGTTATGTTTAGTCCCATATGGAAATTGATGGTGGGAGATCAGAGATCACAACTCATAAGGTGGGGCCAGCAAGCAGCCGCAACTCTCACCCATTAGGCTAGTCTTTTTTGGTTGATTTAGACCCAATCCTTTGGTTGGTTATGGACTTCGGTGGATCTGGGCCTGCTAGGGCACCGGCTCACGAGTATGGTGAGCTAACACAGTTAAAAATAGCCAACACTACTTTTTAATCACCCTGGTTAGCTGGTCTTTTAACACAGAACAAAAATCAATTAGTGCATATCACGAGATCATGAAACATCTGCCATTCAATTTCCTTGTAGAGATGAAGCCATGAAAACGATCGGCCAAATTTGACAATTGAGGTACCACCACATAGACATGTACCACTATTTATTTCCCGGAATCAAACAGTGAAACAGAGGAATGCACTCCCTCGCACCACTTAAGGGCTTGTTTGGATGCCCATGTTTCCACCTTGATCCATGTGTGTTGAGGTGGGTTGGTGTGGTAGTTTGAATTCCACACCCATCCACCCCAACACACATGGATTGAAGTGGATTAATGAGCACCCAAACAAGGCCTACTGTACTAGGACGCTGAATGTGTAGACCTCAGAGCGCTCACTGAACCAAAGCAGGCCAACTGATGGAAGTATTGAAGCGCCAAGCCAAACCATACAAAGTTCCCGAAACCACTCTGGCGAAGAATTTGGCTGCTGGAGCAGCTCTGCTTACCGAAGTGAATTGGGCCCCTCCCGCACCGAATTCAGCAGCACAAACAAACCACCGCTGAATCAACTGTAGCCCGAGAGCGTGAGGGAGGAGGGCAGCCAGGCCTGGGAGGCGGGGGTACTCACAATGTAGGAGAGCGCGACGTCGGGGTCGACGAAGGCCTCGCCGTCGGTGTCGGAGCAGGCCTCCCCCTCCTCCAGCTCCTCGGTCTCGCCCGCCACCCTGCCGCTCCGGGACCCCGCGCTCTCCCGCCACGCTCCTCGCAGCGACTGCATCCCGCGGCCCACAAGCTGCACCAGCAGGCTCCTTCAGGCCCAGCGCGGGGCCGAGCTGACCCGGCGAAGGTCCTCTCACCGCACGGAGAGGCTTCGTCCCGTCGACGTCTCGATCGAGGTCCTCGCCCTAGGTTTCGACAACCAACTTTGCTTGCGCGCAGTGCAGTGGCCGTGTCACGTTGGTAGGTTGGCCGGCCGTGTCGGGATGGTGAAGGTGGGCACGGCGGCCTGTTTGTTTCGGGTTGCGTCTTCTCGCCGCAGCCGCTGTTTTCTTCCTCTCCGGCTTCTCGCGCTCTTCCACGGCTCCACTGATCCCGCTGCTGTTTTGCTTTGGGTGATGATGCGGCCTGCGGGCTGCGGCGGATGGAACCGGCCGAATATTTGGGTGCTCTTTGTACGAGTCATGCCGATCGCGTGGCGCCGTCACGTGGCTACCTACAGGACCAGTGAGATGGTCCAAGGGGTCGCACGGCCCGTGAATAGCCCAATGCGCGGGTGCACCGGCCCATGAGCATGAGCAAGGGCCTATTTGGTACCTCGGATAGCTCCTGAAGTTGTTTATAGCTTGCTTTGATGGAAAAATCCTGATCATTTGCTATTGTAGATATCATACCAACAGTAATTTGTTTCGATTCTATTATTATAATAAAGAAATTTGTATATTGGGTTACATGCACAAGCCATTATTCATGAGAATATCATGTTTCACTAGAAGCAAGATACAGTTCTTTCATTTTACTTTACTTCAGAATTCCACTATAAATATTTGCTTGGGAGCGGGAACTATGATATTCGAATGAACAATATAATCCCCATACGTAGGGCGTTGAAGAAAAATAAATCTTATACGTTTCGCTGCGGTCTAATCCATCATAATCCGTATAGAGATTAGAGTGGATTGAAATGTAGCCAAATAAGCCATAACGATCGCCTCACCGTAAGTACACAAGAAGCATTACTACGTGGCGATCTTGCTACTTCAGTTGGTAGTGAGCTAAGCAAATTGGGTTATTTGAAATTAGCATTGCGCCTCTAGCTTTATAGTCACGCTATCCTCCTTCCGTTTGCATTGTTATATACTCCAGTCCCAAAATAAGTCTCCATCTCGTATTTCAAAGAGTTAAACAATCTTAACTTTGACTAAATATGTACCCAAAAAATACTAATATTTGTGATATCAAATAAGCATCATTAGATTAATCACGTCATATATTTTCATAGTAAATAAACCTATTTGAAGATACACATGTTGATACTATTTTCTTTAAACCTATAGTCAAAATTAAGATTAGTTGACTCATCGAAATGTGAGATGAAGATTTATGTGGGACGGAGGGAGTAGTAGTTTAGCCTGATCACCAGGAGCTGGTTGCAACTTGCAAAGATGTACATCAGACACTAGTAGAGAACAAATCTTTCATCCGAAGTCAAAATGGGCTCTAGTCCCGTCATTTTTTGCGTCCGGGACTAGAGAGATCTTTAGTCCCGGTTGGTGTCTCCAACCGGGACTAAAGGTCCCCTGCCCAACGGCTACTGCGCTCGGCACAATGGCAGGGGACCTTTAGTCCCAGTTGGAGACACCAACCGGGACTAAATGTGGACCTTTACTCCCGGTCGGAGCCACCAACCGGAACTAAAAGTCCTCCAACCTTTAGTCCCGGTGGTAACACCAACCGGGACTAAAGGTCCCCCGATGGGTTAGTTTAAAAGGGAAGCATCCCATCCATTGTTAGATGTATTGTGTAGGTGGGGTGGCAAGCTACGCGCGAGGCAATGCATGAGGTCTTGGGTTCGAATCTCATGGGACGCAGCGGTGGGAGGCATTATTTTTTTTAAAGCTGGGAAGACCTTTAGTCCCGGTTGGTGTTATGCACCGGAACTAAAGGGGCCTTTAGTCCCGGTTCCCGACCCGGGACTAAAGGACCCCCATTAGTCTCAGATGCTTACTCCCGAGTGGAGAACCGGGACTAGAGGGGGTTCTCCACCGGGAGTAAAACCCGTCCCTCCTAGAGTTTGTTCCCACTGTTCATGCTATTATTGGGCCTGTCTATAGCACAGCTCCAATTTTGACCGGTCATTTCTAGCTGTGGTCATACTGAAGCTATCTGTCTGAGAATTTTCTTTTTATTATTTGAGACTAAATACATACATTTAAGCCACCTTATTTTGTTTTACAAAGTTCAAATCCTGGAGTTTTTGCCAGCAAAAAAGGCCGTTTCGTACGTACGTATATGGTTTGCTAGCTAGAGCTCAGAAAGTAGGCGCGCGCGCGCGCACACACACACAAAGTAATACGTGAATGATGGAATCTGCGTGCTTCTCATGACACCATGTTGATAGTACTCAATCTTTTGAGGCTTTAGTTTAGTTAGGAGTGCTAAGTGACCTTTATCATGGGATGATATTATGTAGTACCAGTAGTGGATCTTACTAATTAAGGTGTAGTATATATATATAATGTATACCTTGCCTTTAATTTCTCTGGGACTGAGAGCGAGCCATGAACGCTTCCGGATGCGTCTGTCTCTCTGTAGTGGGTGCGGTGATCACGCACGCACAAGGCATTGCGGCAACGCACCTACCGTACCAAAAGGAAAGAGCATGAAGAGAGGATGATGGACGATATCGACAACGATATATATCCAACCAATCACTCGTATTAATATAATAATTTATTTACTAATCGTAGTGCAATCAGTGCGCAATCTCATCTCCAACAAAAGCAGAATGCAACAAGCATTTCTCTCTGATCGACAGATGAAGCAAGATGGAGACGAAATAATTAAAGTAATACATGGGCTAGCTAGCTTTATTGATCGGACCATCGGAGAGATTACGTAATAAACTAATGACACCGTACGGAAATCCATCTGATCCGGCTATCGATCATAATCATAAGCTAGCTAGCTGATTGATGATAGAGGCGTATGCAACAGGCATACGATACAGACAACATATATATATTATTGGTACGGAGTAGAAGATAACGCGACCTTATTATACACATACGCGCATATATGGGCACCACAGGAGACATTCATTCGTACCTACAGTGTGCTTGTATATATATTGCTAGGCGTCTACTTGTACCGTGGTGCCGCGCGCGATACATATATAGGTCGTCGTACACGCATGCATATATATTACTATATAGTAGTACACAAAGTAAAATGAATAATCGAAGGCGAGCAGCGATAGTTAGGTCAGTCGTGCATGTAGCTAGCTCCGGAACATGTGTCCATGCATGGATCAGACCACCTCCACGGCCGTCTGATGGGCGGTCATCATCGCCATCGCCGGAGGCGGCGGCAGCGGCAGCGGCGGCGCCCTCTCCGCTGGCAGCAGTGGCGGCGGCGGCGGCATGATGTCCACGACGACGTTCTTGGGCCCCTCGTCGTCGTCGGTTCTCACGGCCACTGCCTCCCCGTCGGCGTCGGCGTCGGCGTGGGCCTGCCGCAGCTGCTGCTCCTTCTCGGCGTCGGCGTCGGCCTGCACAGCCGCCTGCTGCTGCATCTCCGACACGGCGCCGTTCTTCTTGGGGTTCCGGTTCCGGTTCCGGTACACGAAGTAGAGGGCCATCTGGGCCAGGCCGAACAGCAGGCCCAGCACGTTCGGCATCTGCACATACACACGGATCGAGCAGCAGGGCGCTCATGCATGAGTGAACCAATGATTAAGAATTAACTACATATATATATTTTTTGCCCTAAAAATATGAATAGCTAAATATATTTTTCCTGAGATCAACTGGCGGCTAATTAGTCGTAGGTGTTTTTGCAGGCTTTTCAAGAACACGGGAGTTTGGCCTATATAAGCATCTGATTATACAACACCACTTTATCATCTGGCCTTTTACGCTTGCAAGTACGCATTAATTACTCTGCACGCTTTTGCAAAGACATACTTGTAGTGCATGTCACCACCAGTAAACATATACATATATATGCACTACAGAGTATGATACTATGATCAGATCTTTTTGTTAGGTTCTGTAGACAGAAAAACAGCTGGGTCGTGGGTGGCGACACAAACGCAAACACCTGTACTTTCACTATGCGTGATTACATAATAAAAGTACGTGTATTAAACCAATTAACAGCACCTTAACTAGCTAGCTAGCTAAGTCTGTACGTATATATCTACCTTTGCAAATTGCAATCCTGCTTCAAAAGTGGGAAAAGCTAGCACGAGATGATAAAAAAGCGCGCGAAAAGGAATACAGTAGATGGACAGCATGCAACAAGAATGCGCTTGCGTACGCTCAACGATCGGCTAGGGAGGGCAGCGCTCAATGTAAAACCTTTCACCATCCCTGGTGGGCCACTGAATTGGCACGTTCGTTGTAACTTCGCACTGTTCTCGATCGTAATGGAATGATAAGCAAATCTTTTGCGTATTCGAGAAAAAAAAAAGAATGCGCTGGTGTGTGTGCTTACCGCGACGAAGAAATCTTTCATGAGGAGGCCGTAGAAGAACCAGACGACGGCGCTGATGGTGAGGAAGAAGGAGAGCCAGAAGGGCATGAACTCCACGCTCTTGGTCCTGATCACTTGCCGCTGCGCCGTTATATATCGAGAAAAAAAATATTTAATTAACAGCCCGGCCGTTTATTAATCACTAGTTATTATTATTGCCAAAGTAATTAGTAATACTCCTATATTACTGGACACTCTGGTGGACACAGCAGCTAGCTTAATTAGCTTACGATGATGGTGAGAGGAGCGACGAAGACGGCGAGGGCGAAGGCGGCGCCAACGCCGCCGGCGATGGAGACGCGGCGCTGCCCGTCGACGTAGAACTGCAGGAAGGCGACCATGGCCCCGAAGAGTCCCATGTTCATGGTGCACAGCAGCTTGACGGTGAAAGCCATGGCGGGCTTGGGCGCGTAGGTGAGGTAGATGGCGAGGTAGACGGACTCGACGACGCAGGCGATGGTGTTGATGGAGAGGAGGAGGACGTCGATGCTGAGCAGCGCGTAGTAGAGCCACAGCATTGCGCTC